AATGGTGAAAGATGTTTTAGCTAGTCCTGTGTCAACTGTCGCTTCTGAAAGCACGTTTAGTACTGGGGGCAGAGTTCTAGACACATATAGAAGCTCGTTAAGCCCTGAAATGGTAGAGGCTTTGATTTGTGCACAAAACTGGTTAAAACCTACACTTAGTCAATTCAAGGATCTGAATATAAATGAAGATTTTGAGGTGTCTTTCACTACTGTATCAGGTATATAAAATTGTGTATTTAGTCTACTAATATATTGGGTTTGATTTTAATTTAATTGTTTGGTTTTTATTTACTGTTTTGTAGAATTTGGTGGTTCATCTGTTAGTGGATCAACATCTGGTTGTGATTCTAATGTTGTTGGAAGAGGAAAAGAACCAGTTGTTGGTTCATCTCAAACACATACTTAATGCTGGCAGTGGTTTGTGCATTAATACTGCTTTACTTATATTTATGTTTATGAAATGTATTAATATATTTTTTGTTTCATTTCAGTTTGTTTTTTGGAGTCATTTGTATATATAGATCAACAATGACTCACTTTTTTGGTGTTGCTGTATCGTGCAACTTGTTTTGGTGGTCCTGTTTCGTTCTCGTGGCATCTGCAGCAGCAAAATGTAGTTGTTTTTTGGTGGTCCTGTTTCTTTTCGGTGGCATCTGCTGTTTCGTCCTGTTTCGTTTTGGTGGTCCTGTTTTTTTCTGCAGCAGCAAAATCTGTTAGTGGATCAAAATCTAGTTGTGATAGTTCAGCTGTTTTACCCTAGGTGAGTCATTGCTATTTTGATTTACTTAATCCACAAAATTGTTTTATGAGAAATGGATGATTTGGTTGTTCTACAAATCATGATATTATTTGGTTGTTGTGTGTGGAAGTTCATATGTATGTATTTTGCTGTTTATGTCATTGTTGTTTATGCTGTTAACTTCAACTTAATGTCATTGCTGTTTATGCTGTCAAGTTAATGTTCTTCAGTTTATGTTGTTTATGTCATTGTTGTTTATGTTGTTAAGTTTATGCTGTCATTGTTGTTTATGCTGTCAAGTTAATGTCATTGATGTTTATGTTGTTAAGTTAATGTCAAGTTAATGTCATTGCTGTTTGAGTAAATCTTCTCCTTTCTTGGCCTCAATCACAACTCTCTTTTCTTCAGCTTTCTTGTGAAGTAATGCTATTTTGTTCTTCATTTTCTCTGCAAAATAATGACTTGAAAAATAATGTTCTTCAGTTATAGTCCTATGTTATAATGCGTGTCTGAATGCCAAGAGTGATTTTTGAATGTTACCATGAATCCTTATTAATTCATAGGTATAGCATAAGGTAGGATTGTTGCGTGTGGTTTAACTTAAGGAGGATACGACAATGGGATGAACTGAGATTGAGATAGGTTTTGAAAGCGACAAGTGAGGACAATTTGGTTTCAATTGGTGGACATAGTGTTTTGATGCTGTCCACAATCTTATTGGGAGGGTCATCAACTTGGCTCCTTATGAGAAATGGATGATTTGCATATCTCACTACTTGCACCATTGTCCAGCCTTCATATCAATTTGTGTCCAACCTTCATACTGTTGTTTCATAGAACATACTGCTATTTCATAGAACATACTGCTATCATACTGTTATCATACTGCTATCATACTGCTATTTCATCAATTTGTCTCCAGCCTTCATATCACTACTTGCACCATACTGCTGTTTCATAGAACATACTGCTATGTCATCATTTTCCAACCTTCATATCTCACTACTTGCACCAAGAACATACTGTTGTTTCATAGCAATTTTTGTTTTACATTTGTCTCTTTGTATCTGTCATTGTAGGGGTTTGATTATTGGCCTTTCAAAGTGCAATATTGAGCAAACTCATAGCATGTTGATTAAACACATAGCAAACTCATAGCAATATTGAGCAAACTCATTGTAAGGTACTAAGGGTTTAAAAGTTTGTAATTGCTGCAAAAGTTTGTAATTGCTGCAGAAGTTTGTAATTGCTTATTAGTTTGGGTTGATTTTCACAGGCTGAACCTGAAAAACCTGCTGCTGTGAATGGTGTTGATGATCAAAGTGTAAGTATGGTGAGATAGGATAGTTGTATATCACATGTAATTTGAATGTTGCTGACTAAGTTGTTTTTGCAGGGTAAAGTTGTTAATTCTGTTGATGACAATTAGGATGTTCTTAATGAATAGGTTTAAGTGTGGTTTGTAGAGAGACCATTGCTGTTCTCCACAAAATTGGAGAGCTTGTTGGTTTGTGACACAAGATCTTTGTCTAGGTAATTCCCCCTGCAAGTGTAATTCCCCCTGCAAGTCTAGGTTTAAGTGTGGTTTATAAAATATACCTCTATTTAATCTATCAATAAAAAATATACCTTTTACTCTAAAATTGGTTCTTTTTTTTGTCAAAATTATTAATTGAAAGTTTATAATTGCTGCAGAAGTCAATGGCTTGGTTTATGCAGTAGGAGGATATGGAGCAGAAGGCGACAGTCTATCTAGTGCCGAGGTTTATGATTCGGATACTAACATGAAGGATATGGTTGTGGAAATTTCTTCAAAATGGCAACGAGATTTGGAGAACATTCTTGAATTCAGATTTGGTAACTTGTCAAAAAGGATATGGATTGAATATGAAGGAAGGAATGCTACTGCTGAGTCAATTTGGATGATGGACCTGCTCTCAATCTGTAGACCAGCAAATGAAAATTGCTTCATAAATAAAGTATTGACTGTACTGGGCAGAGGGACTAACATACATGTATTGATCTATGATGTTTTAACATCGTCATGGTTGCATCTATTGCTGTCAAAATTTGGTTTTTCATACTAAAAACTTGTTTGTATTTGTTTTGACAAACCGATTCAACCCAACCGAATAAACCGTTTAAACCGATAATCCGTCAACCGATAAAACCGAACTTAGTCTTGAGTGAAATTGGGTTCAACTTTTTCAACCGTGGATTAGTTCGGGTTAACTATTTTGAACCCGAACCCACCCATAACCGACCGCCGTCCACCCCTAGGATGAATTATGAATTTTGTATGCATTTTGCTCTTGCTTATTATATAGTCCTATTTTAATTTGATTTGATGATTCTCTACTGCATTGTTTTTATCTTGTATCAAAGCTATAATGGGTGATGTAAGAATTAAAGTGACATTTTAAAGTCACAAACTTTTAGCTTTATGCTATGGAATGGAGTATGGACATGCAATAAAATTGTTCTATGTTATTGAATATTTAAGTGTAATACAGCATCTAAATTGTTCTATGTTATTGAATATTTAAGTGTAATACAGCATCTAAAATGACTATGGTATATGATTATAGTAGTCATAACTTGTTTAAAGATATGTATTTCATATGTTTAATACTTACTTTTCTTGTGTGTAAATAAACTATTTTTAAAAAATATTTTTGTATATTTATTGTTAAAAAATATTTTTGAATATTTATTGTTAATATACTTGATGAATCCAATCCAAACCAATCCGCTATTTTTTAAATTGGTTTAGTTTGCACTTTATTGAAAAAAATTAAAATTCAATTCAAATCAATCCATTTTTTTCATTGGTTTGGGTATCAGATTTTCTCGAAACCGAATCAAACCAACCCCTAGCTTGTTTTTTTAGGACCAAGACATTTCACCTGATCCTAACTTAAAGATATAATTCAGAGTACTCTTTATATAATCACGATCACTTGCATAATTGGAATACGATCATCCAAGAAGGTCTCATGCCTTATCTTTATCATGTAAAACTCCATAGAGGTACCCTGCAAATACATGAGAATCTTTTTGGTTGTTGTCACGTGCATCTCAATCAGCTTATCCATTTAGCAGAAAAATAAGCATAAAAAATAGGGAAAAAGTAAGGGTGTGATGGGTAACTAATGAATCCGAATCAATTTATTTTTATAGTTATAGTTTATAAGTCAAATCAGGTCTCACAAAAATCATTTTGAAATTTATAATCAATTTTAAACTGATTTAAAATTGATTTTAAATTAATTTTAATTTTAATTCAAATTATCAAATTTTATTACTTTAAAATTAATATCAATCTACTATCAACCCTTCAAAATTTTAATGCATGATCTTACATATTTGCCCTTGTCTTAATATTTATTTACACTACAACCTAGACAAATTGATAATCAACAAATGTCTCAATTAAAACACTCAATACTCTCTTTGCATTACATTTGTCACACTATAATTAGTCTTCATTCCAATTTAAAATTATCTCTTCTCTCTTTTCACACTTTTAATTTTTCACATATCTCTCTCTCTAATTTGTTTATAAAACTATTTAATAATTAATTGTATTTTTATTGAAGTGATTATTATAAATTAAAACATAAATATAGTCCGGTGGTTAAGGACAAGTCATGAACCATAAACACTCGTCAATAAAATTTTATATATAAATTAAAACAGAAAAGAGAAACGAAATAGTCAAATGAAAAACTTACTACATATAAGAGATGGATAATCTTGATTTTAATATAAATGAGTATATGTTGTGAGAAAGATTGAAAAATGTTGATAAAGACATTGGCAAACTTTGTTTTCACTTGTACTCAAATTTGATGAAATGAAAGAGAATGAAAAGGAAAAAATGCGAGCGTGAATATTTAAATAAAAACGTTTAAAATTCAATCTCCGTAAATTTAATTTGGAATTTAAAATCCAAACAAAACCTTTAACGTTTCACGTTTCATAACTCTGAGTTTGAGTTTTTATGAGTTATGTTAAAAAATGTCTGGAGTACATTGAGAGAGGTTCTTAACAAAAATAATTGAGAGAGTACATTGAAGAATAGTGGAATTACAAAATCAATATAAACTAAAAGTCATTTCTGTGAATTTTATCTTACAAGGTAGTATTAAAAGAATTGACTATAACTTAACAAAAATTATCTTCACTATCAAATTTACAAACCAATGTTATTCTCATATCATAAAACAATATCTACAAACACATTAATCTTTTTCATCATCTATCTTGGTCTAATGGTAGGTATATCTCCACTAACAAGCTCAATCCCCAAACTATCTTCTGAAACAAAAGGATTCTTCACAACAGATGATGAAGGTTGTGAACTGAAAGTACTTCCAGAATCACTTGTATCATATTCACCTCCCTTTTTCGCATGATACTCCGGCATCATCGATAATATGTTCTCGAGTTCTCTAGCCACTTCTTCCATTTTCGGCCTTTCGTCTGGTTCATCCTTGCAACACTTTAAACCCAAAATTAATAGCTTTTCCACACACTCGGAAGTGTAGAATCCCATTCTGTTATCAACAATCGAAAATATTCCACCTGATTCAAACGCCAGTTTAACCTGCGGAAAAAAATGTCAGGCATTATATGATAGTTGTTTCTTAAGTGATAAGTAATAGTTAATGAACATTTTACTATACGAATCTCACACCTGTCTAATAATATTTTCGCCGTGGAAGATTGGTGGTTTTCCAGTCACGATTTCAAGAAATACAACACCGAGACTATAAACATCACTTTTGTCAGTTAACTTGCGTGTCAAGAAATACTCTGGATCGAGGTAACCCTGCATGTTTAAAAGTTTAAACAGTTATCAAATATTAGTATGGCGAAATTAAAGTAACCAATGTATAAAGATACGATCAAATAGTTTAATTTATATATACTGTCAGTGGAAACGTTACCGGGGTTCCTTTTACAACGGTAGATACATGAGCAGGTAAATTGCCTTCAATATCTGGAACTGGTGCTAGTCTTGAAAGTCCGAAATCAGCGACTTTTGCTATGTACTTTGAGTCTAGTAGTATGTTGCTAGCTTTGACATCTCTGTGGAATATTGGAGGATCGGCTTCTGTGTGTAGGTACACAAGACCTTTAGCTGACCCTAGAGCAATCTTTAATCTCATTGCAAATGTAAGAGGTTCTTTAGAATAAGCTGTCATAAAAAACGAATTAAAAAGTTAAAAGAGGGAGTGTATTTGTGAAATACGATGACGATGATGACCCTGCTCACGTATGTGATCGCAAGAGGGTGTGTATGCTCTGATTATGTGAAATTAGTGAATATCTCTCAAATCTTAGAGGTTGTGATATTTATAGATGGCCTTATGGGCTACTGCTCTTCGGGCCCGATGAAGTTATCCCAGTCTAGATAGCATAGAAATTCATGATATAGAAGGTAAAATGCAAGGAATAAGAGCACAAAATGTACCAGCAAGGTGATCCCTTAGTGTTCCATTTGGCATATATTCATAAACCAGCATCTACAACCACAAAGAAACAAACCAGATGTAAAAAACAAACTAGTCATAGAAGCATACATTTATTTATGAATTAGAGATAGTTACCTGTTCACCATCTTCGTCGCAATATCCAATCAGAGAGACAAGGTTGCGATGATGTAACCTCGATAGCAGTTGTATCTCTGTAAGAAACTCCCTCTCACCTTGCAGCGAACCTTCTTGCGCGCGTTTTATGGCAACAACAGTTCCATCATGAAGATTGCCTTTATAAACCTTCCCATACCCTCCTTGTCCAATTTGAGCAGATTCACTAAAATTACTTGTAGCCAAAGCCATTTCTTCGAAATTGAATGATCTTACACCATCGATTTTTATCGAGATCTTAGAACCTGTAAAAAATTACAAGTCTGCTTTAAGGTACATTTGAATAAAGCAATTCATTTCATACCGATAAGTTATGGCAATTTAATCACCTTTACGCCCTTTGGAGAGTGTACGGTAATCTTTCAACCGTATTCTTAATATAAAAATGGCAACAATTGCAGATAATGTAACTGAAATAGCAATTGCTCCTAACACAATTCCAACCACCGCACCTGTGCTTATTCCCGAACTTGAAGACTCAACAAGCCCTGCAGAAATAATTAACTGTATGAGAACACCCGCAAATAAACACTGGTGCATGAGTACGTATTATGGAGTTCAAATCTCAGTAGTACTGAGACTTGAACTCCATAAAGAAACAAGTTTTTGTGACTTACCGTCTTTGTAAGGATCGAGGAGAATGAATTCAAGAAGTTCATAAGGACCAAACAAGTCATTCTCATGAATATTCCATTCTCTAAACAAATCGCGTATCCTAATAACCTCGCTATCATTGAATTTATAAGAGTTTGCATTATCAACGTACACCGGAAAAAGCTTCAAGTGCATTCTTAATCGACCTTCTTCCCACATAAAACTATTAATGAATAGCTGATTATTCTCTATGTTAAGGCCACTTGCCAAGAAGTTTTCAAATTCTTCCACATATGCGTTAAAATCTGAAAATCCCGGACTTTTCAATCGATAATACACGAGCAACGGCACTGCACAGACACACTCTGGAGAATATTCGTAAGGAGGAGGGCATGGTTGACTTGGACAGGTAATATTGGAGTTTCTATTCATATCATTTTCAGTTTCGGATCCACAGAATTTAACTATGGTGCTGTTGTTGTTATTTGAGCATATAGGATTCCCCTCAAGCCTGAAAAAAGAAAATGTTCAACAAGTTTTGATTTATATCAATAGGATACTAATCATAGTTTCATTTTTTGAATACAATAAACAGAAAATAAGTTTATATGCATACATGAGTGTGACATTTGGAGGAAGATTTGTTGTGCTGCCTGATATGCCGGTGAGTTGATTATTTTGCATGTTCCTGCAGGATCATAACTTCATGTTGAGTAAATCAAATCAACAAAATTAAGTCGCATCAATACTGAAGAAATAACAAAAGACTTGGCATATGCGCACTCCATAATACTGATCTATGTAGTACTGACACCTCAGATTGAATGGCGTTTCCTATGTTCTATATGTGTTCAACGTGATACTGATACATGTGGTTACTTTCAATCACTTTTACTTTCTCAAACTATTATCAGTGTCAGTGTCGTGTTCGGTGCCTGTGTGAAATAGTACTTAGTAGATACAGGTTTATAAGAGAAAATTTGTGCAATAATTGTTCTACATCTTACAAGAGAAGCTTTTCTGATCCATTTGAGGTCTTGTTCTGCCAAATGGAAGAGGAAACATTTCCACTTAGTGCATTGTTTTCAATTGCCCTGTCATAGGGCAAGATATGTGCTACAATGTCATTATTTAATTTTATAGCATGATCAATAGAATTATAAATTAAGAAAATGTTGACAAAGAATTTCAAAATTACTTACAATTTCTGAAGGTGTGGGAGATCAGAAAAGTAGGATGGAAGAGTACCATCAAGGTTATTATTTGATAAATCACTGCAAAGATTTCAAGAATAAAAAAATAAGAGTATATAAGTTCATGTCTATAAGTGAAAATTTGAAATGAAGACGAATAGATTAACATGATATAATAGCAATAGAAGTTCTTACATGGTTGTGATATTTTCAGATAGCTTATTAGTAGGAATTGATTCATTCAAATGATTGAAACTGAGGTCACTGCAATTCAAACAAACAACTGTCATTAGAAACATTTACAATCAGACGTTTGGTCGCGCACGCCAAAAGTTGAACTTGTAAAATTGATTTTGCGTTAAAAAAAGTGTGGTATCTTGCTTAAATCAGACTTAAGTTGAATTGAAATGAGATAACTGAACTTACATATAACCAAGGTGTGGTATTTTGCTTAAATCAGGAATCGGTCCTGTCAAGTTGCAGTTCCTAAGGCTCCTGAAGATTAACCAAAAGTTTTATCATCTCAAATTAGTATTTCAAACCAAAACTTCAAAATAATGGCTTCCCTCTTTATATTAGTAATGTACTAGCACACATGGTTGGTATGATCGTAAATTCAATGTCGTTTTTTAGGGCGTGTAAGACAGACTATCGCACAAAGTCCAAAATACATCACGGTTAAACCCTGACTAAAGAAGGTCTCATAAAATATTTCTCAGAGTTAAAATGTGGTTAAATAGAAAATCAATTTGTTTTGCCACAAGTTATCCGTGACGAACTTACATAGAGCCTCAAAAACATAAGACGACCCTGCATAGATAGATTGCACTTACAATTTCAATAATCTCGGCATGTTTCCATAAGAATTTGGAATGGTATTTCCACCAAAGTTGTTGTTATCAAGTTGACTGCAAGACATGAAATACATGTTGGAATCATACATTTTATGAAAATATTAAAACATGCCAAAATTGCTTAAAAAGAATACAGTATCTTTAGGCTTGGCATCTCAGCAAACTCATCTGGGAGATTGCCTGATAAATTGTTGGTGTCAAGAAGTCTGCAGGTCCAAAGATTCATCTCGTCAACAATATATAGACATGAAAATGAAGCTAAGAAACGGTTGCGCATCACTTACAGGTGAAGAAGGTTCCTTAAGCCAGAAAGCTCTGGTGGAATTGGTCCACTAAGTGAATTGTTGTTCATGTGACTACTCCATTATGAGAAAAGGTTAAAGCATTATTTTCATCATTCTTTTAAGAAAAACGTTTAAAATGTATGAATGAGTATAAAGAACATTACAAGTGTTGCGCGTTTGTCAAGTTTGCGAATGATAAAGGTATTGGTCCAGTAAGATTGTTTTGATCAACTTGAATTCTATTCAGGACCGGAAGATAACCAAGCTCTTCTGGTAAATGACCTGTTAATTGATTTCCATTCAAGAGCCTACAAAAATAATGTCATTGATTTTCAACATTTGAGTCTTTGATATTTAGCGACGGAATTAGATCGCAGAGAATGTTCTTAACTTACAAGAGTCTTAATGTTTTGATATTGCCGATTTCCTTTGGAATGTTCCCGGTTATGTTGTTCCACATAAAGTCCCTTTGAAGATTACATGTAAAATCACATATTAGAGTAAGAAAGTAACAGAAATCTGTTACATAATGCGAATATTCTTGGTCAAAATTGGAACTGTTTATTTGTAGCTTACAATATTTTCAGATGAGATAACTTGCCAATCTCAGGTACTAAAGTTCCAGCCAAACTCATATTCATTAGATGCCTATACACAAAAATAAAAGTTTGTGTCAAAATGCAGTTAAGAAATGAATCGTCTTAAGCGTGCAAGGGATACTATAACCCGATTATACAAGAAATGAGCATCGCAGTCTTAGAAATGCACCAAAAACAGAAAAAACTATAGCTTAAACTAATGAGGAAACTAGGACTAATTACTCTTCTGGACCTGGACCGTTCACAAGACCCGTGAAGAAAGGCACAAAAACGAACTCCAAGCAAATTTGTGCATGGAACACGTGGACCTTCACGCTGCATCACTCGCAAACGGTTTCAACCACTCTTGGTATATAAGGCTAAAGCGCATCATTTCAAGTATCAAAAATCTATTCTCACTCTCACGTCACTTCTCATTCTCTCATTGACTTGGGCGTTGAACTGCTAACTTTGTAGGTCAACCCCTTTTCCGCTGCTTTGCTCCACCGATCCAATATCTCATCTCACCATTTCACTACACATTTCTGTTTCCCTAGCGGAACAATTACTAAGAAAACACTCAAAAAGTTCAATATAGAAAAAATAAGTGTAAAGCCATACAATCTTTGAACATGTAGAAAATCATCATCTACTGTTGTATTGGAGCACATAACTCCAGCCCACTTGGATGTACACGGATCTCCATCATTCCAATTGCTCAAATTTCCATTAATATCAATCAAATTTTGCTTTATGATTCTCAATGTATCAACTGCATGTTATTCAAAAATGAAACTATGTTAATATCTTATATCAAAGAAATTAAAATGCAAAAAAAAAAAAAAACATACCTTCAATAGGGTCAGTTCTTTGAGTAACAGCCAATACAAAACAGCAGCAGAACAGAAACCATAGAACAATTTCACATTTACAACTCTTTGAAAAGTTCATCTTCCCATAAAAGAAAAATGTAAAAAGATTATAGTAATTTGCATGTATATATATACACGTAATGAGAAAAGTAAAGATGACACAATATTTAATAGTAAAAAAGATTAGCATTGAAAAGTTCTTAGATAATGACTTTTGACCAAGTTGCTAATTAATCAAGATAAATGCGTAATTATATTGAAAAATATGATATAGCGAATCAAAAATTGACAGAGGAAGAGATTATTGAAAGAGATAAAAAAGTATATTTGACTTTCTGGAATCAGATACCAAGTCCTTCATTTAATTAGTCCAAAACTGAATTATCAACGTAATCTCTATAGTTGAAATATGAAATTAGAAAAAAGATTAGTCCATTATAATTAGTAAAAAGCAGAAGAGATGAACTATCATATTCAAAAGTTTAATATGATTGATGATTTTAGTATCACATTAATTAGTAATAATTTATTTATTCCTCCATTTTAAAAAATAGTATATAATTTCATTAAGTTTGTGGATGAAGTTATTCAACTCTTTGAATTTCAAACTTAAAATGATGCAGTTTTCTTTAATTTTAAAAGGTAGTATATTAGGTGAATGATATTTTCAGATGATTTGACACTTTTAAAATGAATAAAAAATGGAATGAAAAAAATAAAAATATAGAGGTTATTTATGTTTTGATACTCATGTTTTATCATTCATATGATACTAATCACTAAATTATTCATTGACTTTAAGAAATTGAATCCCAAGAGACATGGGCATTGACCAAACGCATCAAAGTTCACACTTGCAGTTCAAAAAAAAAAAATCACACTTGTAATGAATTTATTTTTCTCAATGTTTTGTGCTAAGACAAAAGATGATTTTTTTTTAAGTCACGACAAAAGATGACTGGTTGAATGATGGAGACCATAGTAGAATGTTTCTCGTAATAAGAGATCGAAGTGGAACTTTGCAATTGTTTAATGAATCATGTTTAGGTGTGACTCAGAGTCACATTTATATAGGATAGGTGAAGGTAACTATTTTAGGGTTGTTGGGCATGAAGAGCGGGTGATCGTTGGATGATGATCCATTGACACAGAGTGAAAGGGAGGCGTCCTCCAGTGCGGTGATCCTTGAGCGGTCCATTTGTGCAATAGTGCGACAAATCCCTAAAGTAGATTGGGTCGGCCTTGTGGATCGTGGACCAGCCCTGAACAATTGCCTTTAAGTCCTTAATGTTAACCATGAATGGAGGATTGTTGACATGAGAGTATATGAGGTTGGTCCATAAGTCTAAACCGATGTGAACTCGTTTGTTGAATGGAGACTTCTTGTTTAATGGGATTCGTTATCAGAGAAAATATGCATTAAATGCGAGTGAAGTTGGTGAAATATTTTTTTACGGCAATGGCCTCCATGTGTCCCACCCGCATAGGTAAGGAGTTGATGGGCCTAAGCACACGAAAGTGCAGTTACTTCGAATGGATCGTGTCAAGGTGAATCTAGTTGTCACTTTGCGTATAAAGCAGGAACTTGCTTCTCATTCACACTTTTTAAATTTTCTCAAAGGTCTTTTTTTAGAGAAAACTTTAGTTCGCTTTGTCTTTGTTGGTGTAGGCTTCAAGATTCAAGTTGTTTGTTAGATTAATTGGTTCTATCACTGAACCAAGAGTAATCAGCCTTATTCCTAGTGATGGAGAGTTTTATCCCACTCGTATTAACCATGAACCAGATCAGGGTAGAATTCAGTTTTAGAGACTTCAACCTAACTAATCTCATTGTTGTTGAGAATGCCATGGATGACCCTAATGTGCTTTGAGTGTTGAGGAAGTAACAATTATCTTTGAACAGTGATGAGGAAATGGGGGAAAACATTGTCAATGAATCCAGAACTCCCAGAAAATGCTGAAGACTATCGTTGGCTGAAGCCGTTACAAAGAGTAACTTCAACCACCCAACTAAGCTGGACAGTTTAAGTTGTCGTGAGTTCATCGCAAAATCTCATCATCACTTTTATTGGCTTTTGAAATCATGATGTTATTTACTCGTTAACAAAATACAAATCACTTCTTAGATAATTTGAATATAATTAAGCATAAATCGTCAAAGGAAAATTCAAAACATAAGCTACCATTGAATAAAAGTTCCTTGTTCCTAAATTATCTCTAAACTAACATTCAGAGAGCAGCATTCTCCTTAATAAGGTAACAAGAGGTGCTTACACGTCTAACACGTCTAAAAGTGCAACACTATTGTCTTCATAAAACATTTAATACAACTTAAAATCCATATCTGCATTTCATAACAACCTTTTAACCAGTTATTTAGAGACTGGGTTTTTTCGAGATCTTCCAACTGACTTAACTTTCTTTAACTTAATATCATCATGCTCAACAAGTTCTTTCTTCGTAGTTTCAACTTGTGCTTCCTCTTTCGGTTCAAGAGTAGTAGATGCTTCAGATTTCTTTTGCACTATTTTCTGAGAAGATCTAGTGTTCCTTACAGTAGTTGCATTTGGTTTTGGTGTTTCAATTTTTGCTTCAGAATCAGGAGGAGTAGGTAGTTCTGACTTCTTTGGCATTTTTTTCTGAGATGATTTAGTTTTTCTACTCGGATTTGCCCTCTGTTGTGTAACATCTTTTTCAATGCTACTTTCGAACAGACTTTCTTCAGAACTCTTTGATTCCTTAGTTTCACATACAATGGCACATTTTTGCTTTTTAGTCTTTGGTTCTGATTTGCGATTATTGGCAGCTTTAGTTTCTTTTTTTGCTTTCGATGTGTGCATATTTTCTTCTTCCATCAAAGTGTCATTTTCTTCTTCTTTCTCTTCTTCATATGCATCTGGAAATGCTCTAACAATATAAATCTGCAGTAATATTATTGTTAATTTGTCATAATCATTACTTATTGTTAGGCTTGATAGTTTTCTAGAGCTCAAAGCCTTAATTCGTTCAATTTATTCAAATAATTATCAGTGTTGACATATCAGTGTCTGGTTCGTTGAGTGCTTCAGTCTCTATCGATTCTTGAAGAAGCTTATCTCTAAAGAAGTCAATGAAAAAATATGGAGCCTTTAAGACTTGTTCATTCATACAAATGTATGTGCTATAGTCTAACAGTCCAACCTTTAATGAAGGCTTAAATATCTTTTTTGCCTTTACAAATATATTAGTTTTCTCTGTTTCTTGTTTTTTTTAGTCCCTGCAGAATAAAAGCTATTCACTCATTGTTTTGTTTTAATCCTTGAATTGTTTTTCATGTTCGAACTGGTCCTTACATAGTTCACAAATTACAGGAACTACAACTAACTTGAACAAATACAATACAGAGGGAGGAATAGAGCGAAGAAAAACTATAGGCCATAACTAAATCTATATATGATGATTTGGATTTGTTTAGATATTGGTTAGATTGTAATTTGATTTGATAAGACCACAATTATATTTAGATTATTCTTCTCATGTATGTAAAGAATATGTATCATTTCACTATAGAGAACATTGTGTTGCAAATCGCAAGCAAAAGAAGAAAGTGGAGCTGCAGTTTTTAGAAAAGTTATTTAGACTATGTAAATACATCAGGAGCATGAAGATCGCAAGTTTATCATATACCATCTTAGAATTTGGGTAAGGTCTAACTTAGACCAAAGCTATCGCCATAACTTAGCTGTTGGTACAAGGGTTTCCCTAAAAAATAACCATTATTTTGGCTGTATCACTATTTGCTCGTCATTGCGAGATCTACAATAGGGCCTAACTCAATCAAAAATGCTAGCTCAAGAGGTAAGTATTACTTAAACCTTCGAAGTTAAAAGAGATTTGGATTGGAATTGTAAACATAACTTACCTTAAATCTTGCTGGTTCAACCAATTCAAAAACTAGTGCATCACCATCATCCAACTTATGTTCCAATGCAAATGCTCTCCAGCCACCACTAAGCCCGGCTCTACTGCCAATGTAAATAGCCTTGTATTCTGATCCCTCTTCATCCTCTAAAACCATGTTATACACTGTTTTCGGAAGATATTCCTCACAAAATCTACTAGGTAGACCCTGACAAAGTAAAGATAATACATTGGGAAGTACTTCATATGTTAATTTTATTTACAAATAATCTAAACATTAAAGAATGTAAGACCATATAGAAAGATATTCAGAACTGAAACATACCAACCAAAAACAGCTATAAACATGGGACCGGACCATAGACTTTATAAAAGATGGTTTCGAAGAGTTCAAATTGGTTAGGAGTGCCTCTGCAGCCTCCAAAGCATGACTTCTTTCTTGACTTGTAGCTTCTTTGATTTCGTCTAGTGGCCTTGCAATGTAACTGAGTTCCATAACCTTGTTATTAATATTTAAATTAGTAATATAAGGAAGTCACTGAGTAATTAATTAACCACCTTTCCCATGATGACGGAATCGACCTTGACCTCGACCTCGACCTCTTCCAGTGATTTGGAAGGTCTGTGCAGAACTGCAATAAAATGAAATATACACAGTCAAATAGACATTTGTGCTAGACTATCACAAAACATGATAGCTAAATTATCATACTTGTCTTAGAGTAAAAAAAACTCAACCACAAATTGCTTGTAAAAAAATTTCTACTACATTCATTCATACTAGCTTTAGATATTCCATTATCCAAAGGTGATTCAATCAATCCTCTTTCTTGAGTCATACTTTTTGTTTGATTCATTGCATTATGGTTATTTGAACTTTGCAAGAAACCTGTGCTTACCTCTTCACTATACGAAGGAACCGGGTTCCTTGCACGAGAAGAACGCCTGGGTTCCACTACAACAATAGCCTTTGATTTTGGTGTGTAAAGACGATTCTGCAGAGAAACAGAAAAAAAGTCAAAACTGAACGCTGGTTCCTTATTGATTTAAACCAAATCAAAATGAAAGCTTACCGCAGACTTCTTTGCTGGACTTGCGATTTCAGTCAACTTTTTCGATATTGTTGAAATTCCTAAATCCTTGAGAACAAAAAGGGAAGCTATGTCAAGTAAGAAATCACCACAATAAAACAAAATCTAAACCAAGGAAGTTATGTAAAGTAAGAAATCGCCAAACTAGGACAAAATCTAAGCCACAGAGACTCTGTTAGTAGCGGTGAGGGACACAAGTAGTATGCATAAACACATTGGTTCAAACCTCACTGTCACAACTACTATTAACATTTACAAGAGGATCAAACCAGGAATTATGGCCGCCTAGGTTCAAACCTCACTGTCACCACTATTATCAACATTTTTAAGAAGATCAAACCAGGAATTGTGGCCACCACATCAAGGTCTTTGATGTTTTCGTGACACAATTAAGGCTGCATCAGCCGCATTTGACAATAAACTCCGTAGCATCAAGCTGTTAGCAGTAACTCTGGGCTCATATGTGAGTGTTGTGAGTCAGATACGCAACAATGCTTCTAGACACAATTTAAAACATGATGAAAGTCTTGAATAGTTCACACGAGCATATATATTACTCTCAAACCGAAACCACAAAAACCTTTACGCGACCGCGACCATTATTTAAAACTATGCACATTAGGGTTTTTGATGTTTCTACTACTGTTGTTGAGGCTGCATAAGCCAAAAACCCGACCACAAACATAAACCTAGATTCAAACAACATGAAATGAAAGTCCTAAAAGTCAAACAAACAGTGATTGGTGATTAAGATTACCTCAAACCTCTTCTTATTCTCTTCAAGTCTTAGTTTTCTAGCTTCTTCGTAGTTGTTGCTGGAGCATCCCTTTGCCATCTGCTAAGAAACACACAATGATTCAAAACACAGACAAAAAAATACTATTTTGAAACTTTTAATAGAAAATGACAAAACCCTAACAACAAAAATCTGTTACAACAGTGAGCAAAAGAATGGGGTTTTAATACATTGATTGGAAGAGAAAGAATGAAAAAAGTTAAATTTAATGATGAAATGATTATAGTGAAAAGGAAGAGGAAGAGGTGAAGTAGTGATGGTGTTAGTACTAGAGTGGAGTGACTGGGACAAATGTACTATCTTTGTGGAAGAAAGGTTAAAAAGAGGGAAAAGCCAAATTGATTTTTCAAATCTCTTTCTTACAATCTTACCGCTCTAACTTTAACTATTATTAATATAATCCATTCCAACCCTAGAAAAGCTAAAACGTTTTTTTTGTCATTATTGTATCTTTTCTAGAGTTTCATTCCAATAATCTTTTTCTATTTATAAAAAAATAATAATATATTGAATAAACAATATATAATATATAGATTAGATTAGATACAAATATATTATAGTATATTTTAAAGGTCGTGCTAACTTTAAATAAAAACATTTATATTTAACTTTTTAAGATTATATGTTAATCCAGTCCTATTTTAAATTCAAAACTTCTTTGTATTTTAATTTATAAGTTTTTTTTAATATACAAGGAGGGCCGAACAAGAAAAAATTAGGTTATACGCCTAACAGATATATCAAACCAATTTAAATTAAAAACATTCCTTAATTTTAACGGATAAGAATCTAACCAAACACATTCACCACTACTATTTAAAGGCGACTTAGCTAACAAGTCGGCATGGAGATTAGCCTATTTAAAAATAAGCTTGAATTGAAGTTATTCGAACAGGTGAAGACGCTGAAGAATATTACTTGTCAAAGAAGCTCTTGGTGCTGAAGCATCGATCGTTAAAGAGAGAATAGACAACAGTAGAGTTATCTATTTGAACCAATAACTTCTTAAAGCCTCTTTTCCATGCAAAATCTAATCCAGTAAACACATCCCAAATTTCGACAAGAGTATTATTACAAATTCCAATGTGTTTGTGAAAATCTCCTAGCCAATTTTTGTGGTTGTTATGGAAGATCTCACCACACTTGGCAATGGAACCACTACAAATAATGCCACCGGTGTTAAGACAAATCTAACGCAACAGAGGAGGGCACCAGAAAGTGATCTTTTAGGCCATAGAAACATGTCACAATCTGATATAATATCCTTTGTTGAAGCAATAAATCGAAACATCCTTACGCACTCAATACACCAGATTAGTAAGTAATACATATTGCAGAGCATGGAGAATTTTATTTCTCCAATACCATAAGCGATGACAGCCAAACGCCCACAAATCAGACCAATTATCCATCGCCTGGGACAAATTTTGAGAGAGATTGCCATCAATCCAGTCAAGTAGCGAATAAGAGGAAAAAAAATGGTCCTTAACATCATGGTTGACCACTTGAGATCAAAAAATTTAGGAAAAGCGCAATCTCAAAGAGAATGCATAATAGAATCAGGAATGTTGATATCACAAATGTTATTACGCAATTGAAGACGATTAAGAAAGTCATTAGTAATAAGCCCATTATAAGATTCTAATTACCACGGATGTCACAAATCTTGTGTTTGAATACATTCTTTTATGAGTTTTTAATTGTTACAAATTACGGCAAGTCTTGAATGACTTGTTTAAATGTCATTAATATATTGTATAAAAAATGTGTATTATACTATCAAAATATATTATTAAATGACCTATTTTATGTCATTAACTTAAATGACTTGCTTTAATATCATTGATTGCAATAGATGTATCATCATTTAGTATTCAAAAATATTTCTTTCGATTTTATTTATAAGAGAAAATTGACTTTTTACATTCATTGAATAATGTATTTGCTCTATTATACTATTCAAATACATTGATTATTTAATAGATTTAAAAATCAAATTTTCTCTTATAAATAGAACCATAAGAAGTATTTCATTCATTCTCTTTTATAAGCAACTTTTACTTTTTAGATTCATTAAAAAATTGATATATATAAGTCAAATACATTCAATGAATCTAAAAAGTAAAATTTTCTTATAAAAGAGAATGGACGGTGTATGTTGGAAGTGTATGACTTATTATTCTTATATATTGTGGCAAATTATCTTTTTAAGTAAATAAAGTGAAAACCATAAAAAAAAATTAAGAAAAAATGAATATTAATAATAGAAGAAGCCAAAGAGCAATAAGAATAGGGGAAAAGGCTTTTTGTTTTAATAATGTTTTCTATTTGATTTTTGATGATAGATTTGTATTTTCTACTTGAAGATCCAAATATTATGATTCTTAGCAAAAAAAAATTTCATTTGTGCAATTATTTTTTGTTTTGATTTCATTAACAAAAGGAAAAATAGACACCAAAAATATAATGATATCATTTTATTTACATAATAATTATGTCCTTTATAATTTATGTTTGTCTTTGTTATATCAATAAATATGTGTTCATAATTGTTTGTTGCCTAAATGTTGTTTTAATACTCTCCTTAAAATGAATGATTCAGTTGATTATTTTACACAATATAAAAAATGAATAATTGAAAGAGAGATAATCATCACATATTTTATCATATAAATACTTTATATAAGGATTGTTGACGTGGATATAAGACGTGTTAAAACAAATCCAAGTGGAACTTACTTTTTATTACGCAGAATATCAAAGGATTGTAGGTATATTAGGGTAAATGCAAGGGAATGAAGCGACGCATTGAGGGCGCAGAGGATTGTTGCTGACGCGAAGGATTGAAGACGATTCAAAGATTTTTTATCAAAAGGTTAGTTTATTTCTATCTGATTTAGGGTTTACGAATCTCATAGGGCAATATCTGGTTATATGCAGATTTAGGGTTTATGTAAATTTTTAGTGTAGACTCTAATTATTTAGATAATATGATTAGGTATCATGGATGTACACATAAATCTCAAAATTCATCATAGTGGTGAATTCACCGATGAAGGTCTTAGTGTATATGAGAATGGAGTAGTAGATGATTTGAGAGTAGATGTAGACAAATAGAGTTATTTTGATTAGAAAGCTTAATGAGAAAGATAGAGAAAGAGATAGATAGATAAATAGATAGAGATACAGAGAGAGATATATTAGAAAGAGAATTACAAAGTTTATTATACAAATAGTTTAAATTAAAATTATAATTAAATAAAAAATATTGGATTATTAGGGCCCCTTTCCCCTAGTAACCAGAAGTGAAAAACCAAAAAAAAATCAAACTTACGGAAAAAAATATTGTTAATATTTTCAAACGTTAACACAATTGAAAAAGCGGACATGCAATGTTTATCGCAGAGTTTACACATAAAAATATCAGTTTATACATTAACCCTTGCGTGTACTAAAAAAGCGGACAAAGAGACACGAAAGTGTCCGTTTGAACGCTAGGGGTTTGGGTTCTGTCGTGGACGTATGGAAAGGATAAGCTCAAATCTTATAATGTGTAACCATGCGAGAAGATTCAATTACGACAAAGTAAACCAACAATTAAATTGACAAGAAACAAAACATAAACGGGTAAACTCTAGAGGTAGAGAAAACTTTAAGAGTGTAACATAATTTGATAAAGATGGACATAATATATAGTTAATTCACTAAAGTATTTTTAGTATATATACATTTATCATCCTAATTTTAAGATTACTTGAGGATATCTAAAAACATTATTTTTAATTAATTTTAAGTATGATAAAAACTTTATACAAAATATACACATGTTTAGTTTCCTATGTTGTGCGCATTAAAAAAAGCGGCGTGCCCGTCTGAACGCCAGTCTCTATAAAAAAAACAGGAGATTTCTAAAGGAATCTCATCCCACCAAATAAAACAACTGCAAGCCAAATCAAGATTAACAATTTTATCCGCACATTGATTTCCCTCTCTAAAAATATGAGATATCAAAAAGTTTATGGAAGAGGTTAAGGAAATGCAATGGAGCAATCTATTTCAAAGTCGCCAAGGGGTGATGCAAGGATTGCTGAAAGTCGTCAAAACAATCTTGCAATCACATTTGATCAAAAGATTGTTCCAACCTTTCCGATTGGAAATCTTGATATAAAATATAATGGCACTTAACTCTGTAGAAAACACATTTTGTGGCCACGCAAGGAAGCAAAACTGTCAAGATAATCATCATTCTTGTTCCTGAAAATACCTCCATAAGAGGAAGGGCTCGGGTTGTCCGCTGAGGCACCATCAATATTAGCTTTAATTTAATTCAAAGGAGGAAGAGTCCAAATAATTTCGATAACATCCAGAGGCTTAGGAGGTATGATGTTCATTTTGAAGGCTTTGATCACAGAGAAATCAGAGATGGAACATCTAGCATTGTGAGAAGACAGGTTGTCCGATAAGTTTACATTGGAAGTCACCCAAGAGATAATGTTACTCCAATAAGGTTTACGGTTGTTGAATATGATGTCATTTCTACATAGCCAAATGATGTTGAAGATGCTAATGACAGCAGCAGAAACAACAAGTTTGGCTTGAGGATTCCAGCTTTTACAAGTAGTTTTCAGGATGTAATTGGAAAGGTCAACTTGATACTCAAGTTCAGAATTTGGGCAAGCCAATTCCAAATTTTAAGGGCAAAAGGGCAAGTTAGAAAAATATGATCAATGGATTTAGAATTATTCAAGCAAAGATTGCAAATGTATGGTATATGACAACCATAAATAAATTATATATGTTTGAGAATTTTAAAAATTACGGTGGAAAATCTTAATGGCATAGAAGTTACACATATTAACTTCTTAAAATTATGTTAAAAAACATACAAACACATGCTCTGGTTTCTCTGATTAGGTGTTATTTTCCTCATCTTGCTTATTTGATTGCTCGTTTTGATATGGTTCATGCAACTAATGTTAACCTTTTTCTTTGTTTGCATGTCACTGATAACCTTCATACTCCGTGAGGGACTATTCACT